GAGGCCTCAGAATATACTATATGGGTACGTGGAGCCTTAGGGAATGCGATCCTCAGAGCCGGACCAGCGAATATACCTTAAGGGATTGGGTTTCATAATGTGATTTAAGGTACATGCCTGTGCTTGAGGATAGAGTCCTTAATGATGGGGTTTTCGAGTATCTGACTGGTGGTTTTCTCTTCAATTCCCGTGATCCGTGCGGCAGCAGCTTTAACCACTACGGTTGATGATACAAAAGTATGCATTACCCATGATAAGGAACAGACTACACGTCCCATAGTTTAGGGTCCTTAGGGTAATGGAGGCTTTATATCATCACTAGTATGTAGCTGAGCCCTAAGCCCTAATCCCGAAACATCTCCTTCTTTAAGGGCTCGTTTTTTCTGCGCGGACATAGACCCTAAACCCTAAACCCTAAACCCGTACACCCTCAAAAGCTTCACGACTTTCCGGAAGATGGTTCTTCGTAGGAGGAGAAAGGACACTTGGCGGGGGGGGGGTCTAGGCAAATCAGAGACTTCAAGCCCAACTAAACCCTAAACCCTAAACCCGAAACTTTAAAAAAAAACACCCTAAGCCCTATACCCTAAAGCCGAAGCCCTATCCCTTAAACCCCAAACCCCAAAAGACCTTCAACCTCAATCCCCCAGTCCCAAAGAATCTTAAGTACCTACACAGTATCGAGCAAGATTTCTATAGTAGGAAGTATCATTACGAAAGGATAAGTGCGGTTGATGATATAAATCCTGCATTACCTTCCGCAAGCTATGGGAATTATGGAGTATATTCCTTATTATGTGTAATACAGGATTTATTTCATCAACCCTAAACCCTAAACCCTAAAACCCTAAAGCCCTAAACCCTAAACCCTAAACCCTAAACCGTAACAGTATCCTCCGGATACCTGCTTGGGATCCCTCGGGAGTTTTTTTCTTAGAAAGTTCCTCAACGCAGGAGGCCGAACGGCAACTTGAGCAGCGTGAGGCTCCGCAGACTTCAAAGGGGGAGGGCGAGTTCGGGGTCTGCGTGGTTTAGACGGTCTAGGGCTGTTTGGGGTTTAGGGTTCATGTTCAAGTAAAACAGGAACCTGACTAAGAAACCCTGGGTCCTTATTTGGGTTCTTTCTCCCCTTGACGGAGCAGCGCAGCATAATTTCGAGTTTGAGGTTCAGGCTCTGGCAGAGGATTCGAATTTCGCCGGGTTTTGGACGAAAGAGCTTGGCCCAATCACCGAAAACCTAAAACGTGCAGGCGGCATCAATGCATGTTTTTTTTTCTGACTGGAAGGGTTTCGATGTGTCGTTCAACGTCCAAGCCCTCAACCCAAATTATGAACAGAGGGCACAATACAACTCTCATGGTTTACAAACAGCAACCAACACACCGGTTCAAAACGGATGTGACCCACAAGCGATTCTGTTTTAAGTTTTACACTGGCTAGTCTAGGTAGGGCTTCGCTATACACTCTACAGGTGGTGGCAGTGGATGTAAGGTTCTGGAACGGTCGGAACTATGAGTAGCACATAGCTCCCTGTATGTTCCATCTGTTCTGTTTGGCATGCCACAAAATGGTTTTCCCAAGTAACAAAGTCCCTAGACTGGTTCAGACCCCAAAGCCCTAAACCCTAAACCCCAACACCCAAAACCCCAAACCCCAAACCCTGAACCCTAAACCTTAAACCCAAAACCCTAAACCCAAAACCCCAAACCCTAAACCCTAAACCCTAGAAAGTAAGTGGGATGTCCCTAACTTGTTTTCTGCTGGGGTGTTTTCATACCTCGGTGTGGGCCTCAATGAGTCTGGCTCGACGCGCTAACAGTGTGAAAGGCCGTTGCACCTTAAAAAACCCTAAACCCTAAAGCCTAAACCCTAAACCCTAAACCCTAGACCCAGATGGAAAACCCCCCCTCTTCTCTCAGGTTCTTCATCTTACGGTTGATGATACAAATCCTCCATTACCTTCCCTATAGCTATCGGAATTATGGTAAAGTCCTTCTCAGGGGGAATTCGGGATTTATATCATCAGCCGTAGGATTCCGTAAAAATAAACCCTAAACCCTAAATTGTCTACGGTCTGCTTTTCCCGGCGTATTCACCTACGCCTGGGGCCCTGCAGCCTTAAACTTCGAGTCTGCAGCCCAACCCTGAATCCCTGAGCCGGGTTGAGGGTTTAGAGTTTCGGATTTAGAGTTTAGGGTTTAGAGTTTAGGCTTTAGGGTTTAGAGTTGAGTGTTTAGGGTTTAGAGTTTAGGGTTTACGGTTTAGGGTTCGGACAGTTGGAAGTACAGTAGAAGCCATATAGTTGGACCATTACAATCCTCATGGTCGTACGGTGAAGTATAGGTCATCCTAGCACAAATTAGCTTCTGGGGTTCGCTGTAATACAAAGGCCGAAATAACGCAACGGCATTCCCCCATCGTCCCTACATGAGTCCCTTTTGTCTAAACTTAATTCCAATCAGGTTCTCAGTTCTCTTATTATAAGTTGTAAGTATAGGGCTTGTGTCTGAATTGCTACACCCAGGTAAAGGCTACATAGTCCATGGAATGCAAAGCCGATGGAGTACTTCGTCTACTGGCGACATTCTTCTCCACGATTTCGCTTGTTGCTGCGATGTTTCGGTGAAGGGGCACAACCTCTGCCTCAGGAAGATAAGCCGATCCTGCTCCTGGTCATGTTCGGATGTTTTGGGTAATGACTGAGTCTCAATCATAAATCAGTATGACTCTTAGTTATTAAAACGCATCCTAGACTGGACGGATGGCGCCCGTGACGTCTATTTCCTGGGCACGATGGAGGTGGAAGTGCTGACTCCGCTCGCTTTACCTTCCGAAGAGGCACTAGCCGGTTGGGAGGCTCTGCAACACCATTTTGATTTTGAAGGGAAGACCGACAATCGACGTCCCTTGAATGCTGAGCAATTGACTCAGGGGCACTTGCTTATTAATTGTGCCGTCATTCCCGTTGGCCTTGGGTTAGATTTTAACTAAGAATGAGCGATACGACTGTGAAATGGCCAGCAGTTAGACGGCTAAAATACCTCGGCTCGGGCCCTGGGGGCTAAAGGGTACACCTGGACACCACAAAACATTCCTTGTTAGGGCTCCTTATGATGATTTCAGTACATGAGTCCTTAACAACGTAGGTTCTGCGGGGTTAAAGTCGGGTTTAGGGATTACAAGGGTGTTTCGGTTTAGGCTCTAATGGGTAAAGAGTTTGGGGCCTTCAGGGTGTATCGGGCTTAAACGTACCTAGTACTTTCGGTTATAGTGGCACCCCTAAAAACGGTTTAAGGGATGTTACCTGGGTTCAAGGGTTGTGGGGTGGCCTGGAATTCAATCCTTGGATCTCCAAACGCTAAACCCTAAACCCCAACCCCCGTACACCCTAGGCTCCAAACCCTCAACCCTAGCACCCCTAAACCCTAAACCCAAAACCCTGAAGTTAGATGATGAGTGCAGGTGCAGCCGGCGATGGAGCAAAGCATTGCAGGGGCCCCTGCCGGTTTGGCGGAGTTCTGACGCAGACCTTCCAATATCCCGTATAATAGTCGAGGAACATACCCACAAATCACATTAACAAAAACGGGCGTAATAACTACCTATACTATTTTTTGGGGGGGTTCCTTGTCATAATTACGGTAGAATGCACCCCCCAAACCCCCAAAGCCGTGTTCTAGTTATTAAGCCCCCTACATCAGGGATCCTTAATATGATTTAAGGTATAGTTCTTAAAACCGTATTCTAGTTATTAAGGCCCCTACATTGGGGATCCTTGATGTGATTTAAGGCATATTCCTGAGTTAAGGGATATTGGAAGGTCTGAGGAGTCATGGCTACCCTAAACCCCTAAACCCTACACCATGCACCCTAACCCCTCCTACTGCTCGGCCCCTCATCTTCTTCAAGCCGCAAGTTTCCTGAAACCCAGGCCCTCAGCAGAAAGTATAAGGGCTTATAGGGTTTAGGGCGTATAATATGTATTATGTAGAGTTCTTAATAATTAGAAGAGGGTTTTGGAGGTATATTATACTTTAAGGATAAAAAATGTCCCGAAAATAGTAGTGCTAATTATTTCTACCCAGAAGTCTAGAGGGCTTACTATCAGAGACCCTTTGCCAGCAATCGCTTAAGTTCTCAACCCACCCGCAAACAAAGTGAGTGTGTGCATGTGTGGATGTGTGTATCTATATATATATATATACACGTGCGGGGGCAGGCTTATGTACGTGCATATGTTTATGCATACGGTGATTCGGATGTGCAGCAAGATCAGGTCATCAAGTAGAAGCCTCTTCTTTCAGAGAAAGCTTGACAAACCCTCACAGCAGCCCGCCGAAAATCAATCAGTACAAAAACTATCATGAACCTGTAGCGCCCTAAACCCTAAACCCTGCCTAAACCCTAAAAGCCCTAAACCCTAAACCCGATGCCCTAAACCCCGTTGCTTTCAAGTTAGGTCATCGGCTCGGAAGATGTCATGCGCGGCCTCAGGTCTCGCACTCGGGGGTTGGTGAGGGCTGGAAGGTGTGCTAGGCGGGCCTTCAGGGGTTACTCCTGGGGCTGATGCTCCTGTTACTACTACTACTACTACTACTACTACTACTACTACGTACTACTACTGCTACTGCTACTGCTACTACTACTACTACTACTACTACGACTACTACCACCACTACTACTGCTACTACTACCATTACTTTTACCTACCAGTACTGCCGCGACCGGTCCTTCTGCTGTTGTACCACGACTGCTACTAGTATTGCCAGCACTGATGCTGCAAGGAATGCGCATGGAACCTTAAGCTTCCCAGGCAGATACAGAACGAAGTATATTAACTATTCGATGGCTTAGGGGTTCAGGGTTTAGAGTTTCAAGGTGACGAAGTTGGCTTCTAAGCAGACCCGGGTGGGCAGTGATGCTGCCAAGAGAAATAGGGTTCAGGAGCAAAGCAAGAAGCCTGGTGGAGGCATTTTATGTCCGCCACTGTGGCTCCGCGCATGAACGAGGGCAACCAAGTGACGATCTACAAGTGCCCTGTTGAGCATGTAGGCTGAAGAATCAGGAGTTCAGGATTCAACGATTGGGTTTGTGTGATGTAGGGTGTGGGACTTCAACGAGTGAAACAACCTGAAACCCTAATCCACGGCCTCTGAGCAGCGTGAGCTTTCTTCTCGGGTGTACATCCCGGATACCTAAAATCTTTGCCCGATGGCCCCTCTCCACTCCCAGAAGCCTTGGAACCTCGAACCTTCAACCCCAAACCCCACTGTGAAGGCTTTGAAACCCTAATGCAATGCGAATTATAATCAACGAATGGCCAGTGGCAAAGCGGTGTGCAAGTCAATGATCAACTTTTGGAGGTCCTGCAAAGTGAGTTGAGTTTAGGGTTTAGGGTTTAGGGGTTAGGCTTTAGGGTCACGTCGGGACCGGTGTGAACTTCGAAACCCTAGAAGACACAGAACGAAGGGTTCTTCACCACTCGTAGATAAACAATAGTGGCGGGTGCATAGCCCGATGCCCGTCGGTGTTCATCGAAGCTTCCGGAAGGTGCTGTGGCACAGTAATCATAGCAATACCAGCAATAATGCTAGTAAAAGCAATAATCTAAGCCCCCCCTGCACACGAGGTACACCGGTGAGCCCGTGGCCAAGATCGCACATGGGCTGGCAATTAGATCTTACAGCGCTGAGGCACATAGCCTAACATAGCAGCCTCATGTATATATATATATATATATATAATATAATGTGTATATATATAATGCATATATGTATAATCTATCTATCTATATATATATAATGTATATATATATATATATATCTTTCTCTCTCTCTCTCTCTCTGTGCGGGTAGCGTGTTTTTGGCTTTGTTTCCGACCCATAAAATCATTTCAAGCACAGTGAAATCATGCAGGAGGCCTACCCGGGGCATTAGATGTAGCCTCGTCAGTAAACCGCTGAAGAAGCCCGTTTAGGGTTCCTTGAAGGGTTCCTTTAAGGGTTTAAAGTTTACCTGGCTTTGGGGTGGGCGTTCGGTGTGTATCTTGCTGCAGTGCGACGCTGCAAGAAGCCTGCAGCCTAAAGCAAAGCGGCCCGTGATGGCTTTGTCAAGGTTGCCTGGCGAATTCGCGTGGGCATTCGGACGAAACGAACGAGACTCCAAGAGGAAGTGCCTACTACTTGGAGGTTCATGGGTAGTTATAAATGGAGTTATAAGTGGGTAACTACACTTATAACGCATATTAGGGGACTTATAACCCCGCTTATGACTACCCATGAACCTCCAAGTATGTGCTGTCATGCAATCCATCCTGTGCCGCAGCTGCCCAGTACCTGGGATCATGAAGTCTTCCACCCAGAATCGAAATCATAAACCCTAAAACCCCAACGCCCAACGCCCAAGCCCTAGATCGTGGTAGATCCTAACTCCCGGACCGTAACCGCACGCCCTAAAGCCTATGAAAGCTTGCTCTCCGGAAGTCCACAAGTAACGCAGAAACTAAGCTTAAGCCCTAAACCCAATGCCATAAACCCCAAACCCTAAACCCTGAACCCTAAACCTGAAACCTTAAGCCCTAAACCCAAAGCCCTAAGCCCGAAACCCAGAACCCGTGAACCCCGACCAAGTCAAATTGAAAGGACGCTGCAAATCACCAAGAGCCCCAACCCCACATGGCCATAACCTGAAAGAAGCCTCATGAAAGCAAAAACCCCGAAGCCCCTATACCGTAAGGAAGCCTATAGAACCCTTGAACTTTCTGAAGTCCTAAACCCTATAACCTTAAAGCCCTAAGCTCTAGAACCCCTACTTGGAGGTTCATGGGTAGTTGTAAGTGGAGTTACAAGTTCCCTGATATGGCTTATAAGTATAGTTACTCTACTTATAACCCCGTTTATAACTGTCCATGAACCTCCAAGTAGAGCGGTGCTAAACCCTAAAACCTAAAACCTCAAAGCCCTAAGCCCCAGAACCCAAAACCTCAAAACCCTAAGCCCTAGAGCCCAAAACCCTAAACCCTAAACCCCTAAACCCTAAACCCTAAACCCTAGAGCCCTAAACCGTTGCTGACTTCTTGGACCCAGGAGTTCAAGCCCGACAAAATCGAGGCTCGCCACGAAGACACCGGAGCTGGAGCGAGGACGAGTGCAGGGTTTAGGGTTTTGGGATTTAGAGTTTAGGATGTAGGGTTTAGGGTTTAGAGTTGAGGGTTTAGGGTTTAGGGTTTAGGGTTCAGGATTTAGGGTTTAGGGTTTTAGGGGTTTAGGATTTAGAGTTTAGGGTAGGGGCCTAAATAGTTACCTATACTAATTTTTGGGGGGGCTCCTTGTTTTAATTCTAGTATCATGGGTCCCAAAACCCTATTCTAATGATTAAGGCCCTTACAGTAGGGTTTCAGGTTTAGGGTTTAGGACTCAGGCAGGGAAGGGGAGTTAGAGTGTTAGCTCAGTGTCTAGGACATTTTCAGGTGGGTAGTTATAAGTTATAGGAGCCTTATAGAAGGTCTATATGCCTTATAGAAGCCTTATAGAAGCCCCATATACCCTAAACTCCCCACCTGTAGTTTCCTTTAGCAGTGTTGGTGTTTGAGGGTTCTGCCCTTCCCAGGACGAAGACGCAAGCGCTGCTCTATGCTGCCAAATGGCGGCCAGATGGGAAGAAGGCACATGAGGCCCCACGCCTGTGGTTGAGAGTTTTAGGGCTTAGCGTTGAGGGTTTGGGGTTTGGGGTTTAGGATTGCTTTGCATTTGACTCATATGGAGGCCTTAATATTGAAAACAGGGTTTTGGGGGTATATTAAACTATAATTACGAGCCCCGAAACCCGATTCCAGTGATTAAGCTCCCAAAGTTAGGGGGTTGAGGCTGAACAGAGTCTTTCGGGTAGCTGGGGCCATAAACGGAGGGATTACAAAGGGCTTTAGCCATGTCACCAGGTCTCACTGCTAATCATGTCGGTTTAGGGTTTAGTACGAGGGTCACAAGCCGGGCAAGCAAAACCATTAATAATAAGAAAGCCCTAACCCCCCAGGTACCTACTAGAGAGGGCCCTAGGGGCTCTAGTACCTTATAGTAGGTACCTGGGGGGTTAGGAAAGCTTACCCCAAACTAAAATACCTTACCGCCTTTACCCCGTTGTACTTAATGCCCAGACCCTTGAGGATATGGTTTGAGATTCAGACTTTCACTTCTTTCCTTTCTAGAAGCTGACCCTAAACCCGAAACCCTAAACCCCAAACCCAAACCCCTAAACCGCCAAGTATCGAAAGGCTAAGGCCTGCAGCCGCAAACCCAGCCTACAAGCTCCCCGGAAGCTGCTCATATGGGCCCAACCTAAGGTAGGGGCCTAAATCATTGCCAATACTATTTGTTTTTCTGTTTCTTTTGTTTTTTTTTGGGGGGGGTCCTTAATATAAGTATAGTATAGTAAAATATATAACTATAGTATAATATATGACTACAGTACAATGGGCCCCAAAACCCTATTGTAACTATTAAGGGCCCCTACATTACTCCATCTTCATCTGGTCGATACCCCCAAACATCCCCAAACCTGAGACCCACTTTAAGCCTCCATCAAAGGCCAACGGGACCTCTGCATAGTCTTCCCAGATCCTACAGAGCCCAAGGAAAATCGTACTGTGTGTGTATATATATATACATACATGTTTAGAGGTTCATACATACGTACATACATATAGATAACTACACGAGTATCTAATTTAGTGTAGCCACAAGTGTGCATATATGCAGTTATATATATAAAATGTATGGTTAAGTTATGTTCATCGCCCAAAACCCAAAACCCTTAGCCCTAAAGCCTTGTACCCTAAACCCTAAAGCCTTACACCCTAAACCCTAAACCCTAAAGCCTTACACCCTAAATCCTAAAGCACTACACCCTGAACCCTAAACCCTCAAGCCTCACACCCTAAACCCTAAGCCCTAAAGCCTTACACCCTAAACCCTAAACCCTACAGCCTCACACCCTCAACCGTAAAGCCTTACACCCTGAACCCTAAACCCTCAAGCCTCACACCCTAAACCCTAAGCCCTAAAGCCTTACACTCTAAAACGTACGCACGCCGTACAGAAGCCCGTGATCTTCCGCCAGGATCGCCCTGCCAGCCCTCCGCGAGATGGCGAGAAAAGGCCCAAAGGCCGCCTCAGTGGAGTTTTGCCTTACGGAGGGTTTAGGGTTTAGGGTTTATAGGGTTTAGGTTTTAGGTTTTAGGTTTTAGGGTTTAGGGCTTCATTCATGAGAACAGGGTTCGAGCATATCCTGTATAAATTAGAATAGGGTTCCTTTCAAGGTTGAGGGTTTTGAGATCTGATGACGTAGCATAAGGGCTTCAATGATGAGAATAGGGCTCCTGTATATGAGGGTTGGCTCCCTTTGACTAGGGTTATATCATCAGGGTTCTGTAGTATCGGACCCTTAATCTATGAGAATAGAGCTCCTTTTAAACTTCCCACAGGGTCCAAAGTACCTATATGGTAGAACG